TAAACTTGATAACCTCTCAATACTAATACAAACGCATTTACCATATATCTCAGTTTTGGAAGGTTTGATAATATTATATTTATATAGCAAAAACAAACTTGTAGTAGTTTATCATGTTTACCTCTGATAATCTCTCACTGCTGATACAAAACCTGTTTACTATATTGAAAGGTTCGCCAATATTATACTCACTACTTAAATTAACTTGAATAAGAAACTATTCTAAAGTTGTATCAATATAAATATCTACCAAAAAATCTACTGTTGAATCTTATAAAACTAATCCTGCAAATCAATAACCTGTCCAATTTGATAAAGAATTAATCTATCAAATCTGCTTCTACTATATAAATTTAATAGTTTATAATATTTTCAAACCTGATAATCTCTTAATACTAATGTGAAAATTGTTTACCATATATATCAAATTTGGGAGGTTCGATAATATAGTAGGCAGATTTTGTATCAGTATTGAGAGCTATTAGGGTTGAAAACATTATAAACTATAGTTAAGCCTTCTAAATTCAATTCTATCAAAACTAAATCTGACAAAAAAGAATTAATCTACCAAGTTTGTTTATAATGTTTTCAAATCTGATAACCTCTTAATACTGCTAAAAAAACTAACTACTATATATATCAAATTTATATTAGATATTTTCAAACCTAATACTTCACAATATTGACACAAAACTATCCACTATATATATCAGTTTTAGGAGGTTTGATATTATATATAAGTATATTGTAAAGGAGTAATGTAACTTGACTGATATCCAAAAATACGATTCAGAAAATTCAGAACCTTAATGCATGCATTAATTAATATTAAAGAAGGTATTTAATAGTACTAATTCAAATTTGGCTTGAGGCAAAGCTTTATTAGAGAACAATAGTAAAACACCTCTAAGATTCTGTGAAAATTAAGACTATAGTTATGCAATAAGATATGAATTACACATCAGTTATAGAGTTTCTTCTAATACTCTAAATAGTCATGATGTTTGTAAAATTTTAATTAAAGCAGCAAAGTCTCAATGTGATTTATAACATACTGATTTCATATAACTAAAGAGCAACGAAGATGAAAATCATATTAATAAAAAATCTAATAATAAATTTTGGGGATCCTAGTGGTCTTTTAAGAAGCATGTATAACTTTAAAAAGTGTCTGCATAAGTTCGTGAATAAAGATTAATGGAATTTACAGATAAGGGCCCAAAAATGAAAATAATTACAAATAAGGGACCAAAATGAAAATAATTACAGATAGAGACCCGATATTACAAATAAGGGCCCAAAATAATTAAAACCTAAGATATAAACCCCGTTTCGATGATTTGAATATAATTGTAGTATAGTCATAAATTGTTAACGCATAAGAAATATAATAATAATACTTATAACAAACACCATGTCATATAAAATTACAGATCAGTATGACTTTTACTAACATGAAAATGTTCATTCGGCTTTGAGTAGGGTCCGGAATCGGGCGGGTTGGGCCGAGTTACAGCTATTATCATAATTTCTGGGACACCTGCTCATTACCCGAAATCTTTTTGGTCGTTCGGTAAATCACCTAACTCTCCAGAAATTATATCATTGCCTCCGGACTGAAGGTCCGAAGACAGCGATGTAGTTTCCGGAGAGTTAGGTAATTTACCGAACGACCAAAAAAATTTCGGGTAATGAGCAGGTGTCCCAGAAATTATGATAATAGCTGTAAAAAATTCTGATCAGAATTTGCATTTCCCGGCCCGAATATAAGTTGTTAGCTTTGATTATAATATCGATATTTGTACAAAACTTAATTATTTTGCATTACATCTAAAAAAATAACGTGCAAAGATCATATGTGTTTGCCGGATAAATATCATTATTGCTATATTTACACAATTTTTGTAATAATAATATCTTGGGCGTTGGGTATTAATTGTAAAATATGTTGCCGTACCATACAGGTACAAGATTTTAATCGTACTGTACATAATCTCTATATCTCGCCAAACCTATGCCAATTGGACTATGTAGTAAAGTGTTGCAAAACCTGAGTCAATTGGCACTGGCCTCTTACGGTTTTTATCTGTGCCACCGAAATCCGTGCCATTCTGCCGCCATTAAAGTATACTTTTTTTGGGTTTTTGAAGGCATAAAACATTTTACTTAGAACACTTCGCATTAATTAATTAGATAATTTTTGAGATATATATTCATAGGTGTAAAACACTATAGGTGCGATTTAGTAAAAGTCGCATAATAAATATTTTTCAAAAATAATAATCAAATAATTATTAAGTTGTTTAAATGAACATAGCAGCGGTATCATAGAACTGAAAAATTTTGAGGATAACAATAGGCAAATGAACTTAGAAATAGATATTTTAATACAAGGGAAATTCTATTTTCACCCGGGTTAAAGTCACCCGATATATAATTTTATTATACTTTATAATATAAATTCATATAATATCATAAAATTCATCTACCCTAACCTCTAACTAACTAACCAATATAATTTTTAGTTGGTTATAGTAGTTTATATTTATATAATATAATGGAACTTATATAACGGGTGACTTTAACCCGGGTGAAAATAGAATTTCCCTTAATACAATTGCTTAGTTAAGAAATTCCAATACAATTACATTCGAAACCGTGAAGTTGATGGATATTTTTATGTCAAATGAAAAAAAAGTTGTAGTTAATAATCTTGGTAACTGACTTCCGAATGAGCATAGTTAAAGTTTGTTGGTGTTAGGTATAACAGATAATATTAGCAGATTTAGCCAAGGTTATGTTCTTTCGACGGCTTTCGACAGATCATACGATAAAACCGTTAACAAGTATTTCCTTTATTTATTAATGTAACAGTCATAATGAGCTAGAAGGAAAATAAAGATCGCAGAAGGATCTAAACAACTATATCGTTATAACTAAACACAAAACTTTTTGCAGTAAAATTTATAGCTAATTAGTTAGATTAATATAACTAATTTTTCCCATATTCATGTGTAGGTACTTGATCTTGTTGAAAAGAAAAGTGCTCACAATAAAAGAATGGCTTAAAAATATCGAATCAAACTTCGTACCAATCCAAAAATAGTTGAAATGTGATGAGCGAAATGAAAAATACTTTATACTAATGATAAATAAAGAATAGCTTTAATTAATAAAATTTTTTGCTAAATACCAAGTATTGAGACTATTACCTAAACTACGATTGATGCTACGGGGTTTTATATTACAAATTCTATATATACGTAGTAAATGGTCACAGCATAAACCAATAACAGTTTCACATCTCTAATTAATGTTTATTAGAATCACTAAATTTAATTAGGTTATTCGCGCAACATAAGTAAATGATATAGGTTCCATGATACACATATATAAAATCTAGGGAGAATAAACAAACTATTGCGCAGACTAGATCTTTACAATGGGTTTTATTCTTGCAGAGATTTTGTCCTTGGTCTGATTTTATTTCAGAGGTTTCATCTTTCACACGAAAGTTTTTTCACTTTTATTTTTTATTATTTTGTTTTTATATAAACTTGCTACGTATTATATTATTTTTATTACTTTTATCTAACTTGCACAAGCTTTATATTTCGAACTAACAACGCTAGAGACACCATTAATCGATCACCTGATCCGACTCACTTCGTGGAAATAATTGATTCATTCCCGGTTCTTACTATATTTACATACAGTGTAACCTCGATAGTATAACGAAGTTCGTCCTTAACGCTTATGTTTAAATTAGTCGAAATTATTAGTAAATTTAGATATAACGGATTTTGGAAAATTTGGTGGACATTTCGTTATATGATTATTGTATTTTTTAAGAATTGGAAAGAAAGTCTTTTTACATCACCTTTCAGTATATAGTCAGACCTAGTGTTCTGTCGACCCTTGGTCATATGTTGCATAAGACACCCAGCGTTAGGGTTAGGGTCTGGGTATTTTGATTTTATGTTACACCTGATCTTAGATTTTAATTCGGCCCGATAGCGAAATTTTCTCAGGTGGTGACGCTAGGGTGGTTTATGTTGCAGGCTGAGCAAGTAAATAGTCTAGCTCGTGATCGATTTTCTCGCAATTTCCAGTAGATCTTTCTTAAAACTGTGCAAAGTACGTATGTACGTACGTACGTATGTAGACTGTACGTATGAACATGCATTACATGATTCGAGTTTCAGAATCTTAATAAATTACACACGTACAAGAAAATTAAAAAATTTGATTTTGTTATTAATTATGATTTATTTACGGTAATTAATCATAACACATGCAAAAATCTTTAATTTATTAAATGGAAAATTTTAAATCACAAATTCTAGAATTAAATGAATTCAATCAATCATTTTAAAATTTATGACGACATAAATTTTGATTCATGGATTAAATTAGGAACAAATAGTTTGATATATAGCCGTTAATCCTTTATCAATTTGTCAAATTTATTCACGAGAATTCTTTAAATGCATGATGCGCACATGTTATAACAATATAGACACGTGAGAAAGTGATTTTTGTTATAATAAAAAGAGAAATGAATATAATAAAATCACGATTCGCACCATTCCAATTATGTTTGGCTGAAAGTAGTGTGCTTGAATACGTATATGCGTCACAGAATTCTTAACAGATTTGCATCTATTATATAATCCATGAAAATATACAATAAGTCCCTCGTCTAAAGTTATTTGACGGTAGTGACACTTATATTTTAATTACCATTGATAATCTTAATTTTGAACATTTAAACTGGACTGGACAAGTATTTTGCTAAAACATAATTAAAAATTCTTGGATTTTTATTTAAATATATCTAGCCCATTATTTCCCAAAAAAAAAAAAAAAAAAAAAAAAAAGGAGAAAAAAGCGTATACGTGCTCCTAAATCTCCTTACATAACTATTTGAACTCAATTTTCACAATTTTTATTTATAAAATTTTTGATTATAATTTTATATTATTCTATCGGATATTAAAATGGGTCTCGGACAATCCAAGAATACGTCAATAAATGATAGTAATAAATTTGACACCAACATCAAACCTGACACCAAATTTGTCACCAACAAAACTGAAAGACGAAAAAAATTCCGTTCTTTGTCAGCCTTGACCTTGTCAAGGGGAAATGGAAATAATGAAATTTGGAATTTTAGCAATGGTAAACGATTTCATCACAATAGCTTAAGAATCTCTAAAATTTCAGATACTATTATTGATGAGGAAAGACTACAAAGACGTCATCAGTTATTTAAACGGATTTGGCAAACTAATTTTTCGGCTCCCGTTGACGAAACTTTAACGGCTGGTGGTGCTAGAGTCTTAGAGATTGGGTAATTTTTTTGAAAGAAATTTTTAATCGATCAAATCCTTATTGATAATATATAATAAATTATTGCCATTTTTTTATTTATAGGTGTGGACCTGGAACATGGACAATCGAGATGGCTAGGTCATATCAATCATCTATGTTCACCGGTGTAGATAAAATGCCATTATTTCCACAAGAAAAGAAACCAGAAAATGCTAAATTTCTTCAAGCAAATGTACTTAACGGTTTACCTTTTTTAGACGATACGTTTGACTTCGTGTATATGGGCCTATTGGTAACTGCATTTACAGCTATTGAATGGGAGAAAGTTATTCCAGAAATAGTAAGAGTAACAAAACAAGGTGGTTGGATAGAATTTATGGAAAGTGATTTTCAATATTATAATGAAGGTCCTACAACTGCGCGTTTAACTGATTCATGTATGTATACCGATACTACATTTTTCGTTTTCAATCCAAAATTCCGGCACTCATGATCCTTGATTTCTCAAAAGCCTGAACAGATAATCTTAAAAAGTTCGAAATTCATCCACATTGACAATTTATCCTTGACAATTTATTGTCTTGATAATTCATTATTTCTAATGAAATTTCTTTTTAATTATAATAATGAATTATCAGGATTTTATATTTTGGGTGTCAGGCTTTTTTTGACAGTCAGGATTATGACTTTCGGGAATTCGTAGTTATGAGTAAAATTATAATCAAAAAATTTGTTTATGGCGCAGTAAAATTATTTATGAAATCAAAAGGAATTATCGGACCTCTAGATTTATATATACTTAAAACTATGGAAACAAACGAAAGAATTGATAAAAACATTAAAACTGATGAAAGATCATGTTTTGTTGGGAAATGGGCTGGTGAACTTGGTCAATTGGTAAGCTTTATAAATTTAATAATTCTAATTTTCATATCGATATCAATATGTTTAATTTGACTGTTTATATAGGCCGTTGAAGATATCACAAAAGGATGGATTACTGTCAAATCACCAATGTCAAAACTAATGAAAATAAAATCTCGTGAATACGATGAAATAATAGCAACTTTCGCCAAAGAAGTTGAACAACATAAAACATATTTTAAGAATTGGCGATTTTTTGGCCAAAAAATTGTTGCTACATCTGCTTCTAATATAACTACTCCATCATGGTACCAATAAATCTTCTATATAACTACAGCATCATGGTATCAGTAAATCTTCTATATAACTAAAGCATCATGGTACCAGTAAATCTTTTCATTGCCGCCGATTCTGTTCATACCTCAAAATATGATACGTATATCAATATATTAGAGTATTAAAAAAGCATAAACAATTAAATTTTAGGGTTTGAACAATCGGCGGCAATGTATATAGAACGCATATTTAGACTTTTTAGACTATTTAGACTTTTTTTTTTTTTTTTTTTTTATTAATCATAAATTTTATTTTCGTGAGGTGTGTTAACTTTTTATATCACAAATAAGCAATTCTTAAAATAAACAGTAATATACATATCCATGGTTAATTAAAAATAGCTG